CCCCCTCCCCAATTTTTTTTGACATGTCTGGATTACAAGAATATGACAGAATTTCTCATCAAACAATCAATACTGGTAATTGCAATTGTGAACCTGTTCTAAAAAAAAAAATGCAAAGTAAAGCTGATTTATGTAAATTACAATTAATTAATGCATATTCTATTGTGGGGGTAGAAAGGAACACGAACAGAAAAGGAGATTAAAAATGGAAAAATTGTTCAGGAAGAGAAAAAAAAATTATGAAGTTTGAAGAATAAATTGTTCTGAAACTGGCAGCTAACTGAAGGTGAAAGGTCAATCATGTGTTCAGTCCACAAGTGATTCCAAAAATTAAAAAAAAAATTTAATTAAATAAATACAGTTATGTATTGAATTAAAAAAAAGATAATGTTAATAATAAAACATTAAACGTTGAAAAAATATCCTAATTACATTAGTTTCTCCATTTTGTTGTCATTAATAAAACAAATAGAATGAATGAAAAACGAGAGAAATATTAGGAAGAAAACATTTTATTTTTTAAAAAATGTTTTCTCTTTCTTTCTCTTTTTTTTTTGTTTAATTAGATTTGCAATCATAAACTAATAAAGACTAATTGCAGGTGCATGGCATGTTTCTAGGTGCAAAGTTCAAGTGCAATTTAGCACCTTGAACATGTCAGCAACCAACATTTTGGGGAAGAGGTTTTAGTATTAAGTCACAAGAAATGTTTGTAAATGCTAGACAATTTCCTCACATATGATGAGAAGACATGAAGCATTTTGTGGCTTAATAGAAGAATGCTGAGAATACCATGAACAGGGAATGTGAGCAATAAGGAAGTTTTTTTTTTAAAACAAACGTGTACAAAAATAACATTTATACTTAAAATCAGAAAAAAACAGCTGAAATTTTGGGGATACATAATGAGGAAAATGGGTTTGGAGAATTTTACACTCATAGGAGGTATTGAGGATCAGAGGGGGAAAACCAAGTAACCTACCTAAGGAGGCACGGTGGAGTAATGGATAGCGGCTTGGATTGAGGAATTGGAGAGCCGAGTTTGAATTCCAGTCGAATCCATTACATTCACTTACGTGCTAACATCCTTGGGAAAGGTGTGAATCCTCTTTCTTCTCCCTCCAGCTATGGGTAAATAGCAGGACAGACTGGGTTCTATAGCCTTGGATGGCAACTGGTCTAGGAGAAGGAAAACTCTGAATTCAAACCTGCTCTTAGATGAGGGTGAATGGAGTCTCTCTGAGCCTTGGTTGGCAATCCATTTAGTGTTGGTGTCACGATAAAAACACCCTTGATAGCCCTAGCGAAGCATCAAGAATTCAGCTATTTGACAAGATTATGAATTACACCAATCAAAGTATTGGTGAGTTCAATCTCGGCTGAGGCCGCAAGATGATGAGGACTGGAGGGAATGGTTAGGAGGCAAGCATTTCGTATAGCTACAAAAGAATGGAAGTTGTGGACAGCCATGATCTGCCAATATCTTTAGGATATGTAGCATATAAAATAAGAATTCAATTTAACACAAGTCTACAGAGAAACAAATTCATTTAACACTATAAGTGTATTAGCTTAGACTGGCACAAGGCCACCCAGTGAGGAATGAGCCCACCACTAGCAATAATTTTATTTTTGACTAGATTATTAACCATGGGAAGATGTTTACATAAATGCTGAATATAAGAAAGAAACATTTTATATATATATATATATATACCTGGATTCTTCCTCTTGGAATTTTTATTCAAAAAATATACATGTATAGGTATTTATATATTTTGCATATGTATGTATATTTACCACTAATATTATCTATCTATCTATATATATATATATATATATATATATATATATTACGATAAATGTGCAATCAATTTACAAATTAAATTAAATCATTAACCTTTACTTTTGTTTTTGTGTGAATAATTCATGAATATATATATATATATATATATATATATAAGTGAACATTGAAGTCAGCACTCAGAGGCAACAGACTGTTTCATGATTGCACTTAGCATGAAACACTCAATGTTGACTTCAATGTTCACTTTTATATTTACATCCACTCTATCTCTGATATTGACCACTTTATCCCATAAATGTAGCATAGCTTAAAAGTATATTTCTTCATATATATATATATATATATATATATATATATATATATATATATATATATATATAATACACACCACTATATTTATCAAATATATCTTTGTCCGATGAGTGGTTGCTAATCCTATGTTCTACAGATGAAGGTATATGTTGGATTACAGATGGAGGGTGGTTAGAATTGAGACAAATATAAATTGGGTTGGCGTCATTTTTAATAAAAGGTTGAAATATATCATTAATGAGATATATTGTTCTACTTTGTATTGAGCCCTCTTTTAAATTAAACGTTATGGATGTTGGAATTGTACTCTATTCATTCTAATCTTATTGACGTCACCATTCCACCCAGAGGTGACAGAGTGTTTCATGCTAGATGCAATCATGATTGCGTCTAGCCTGAAACAGTCCCTCACCTCTGAGTGTTGACTTCAATGTTCACTTTTATATTTACATACGCTCTCTCACTGATATTGAGCACTTTATCCCATAAATACATCACACCTTAAAAATATATATATATATATATATATATATATATATATATATATATATATATATATATATATAAAAAAATTGACACTTAGCTGATTGATGTTACCTTCAGTATCCTGAGTTTTGTAGGTGGACCTGTCCGTTCACTCTTCAATGAGTATCAGCAATTTGCAATATATATATATATATATATATATATATATATATATATATCTCCTTTGTTTCATGTTTAGGATAGGGTTTCCAGTTTCTTTTAAAGCCTTTTCCTTCTGCTTCACTTCAAGTGGCCTTTTGTGTCTTGGTGGCATTATCTTGGGATGCTGGCTCTTACTCTGTAACCTTGTAGCTTGAGTGGCTCTTGGGCTTATATTGAGTGAACATCTTGTGTATATGCAAATGTGCCGAATATAAGACATAGAGCATGTGTAAAAATATGAGTGAACACTGAGGTCAACACCAAGTGGTGACAGTCTCTTCCATGCTTGAACACAATCTTCAGGCCTAAAGATTTAAGTATGAAACAGAGTGTTGCTACTCTGTGTTGACCTCACTGTCTTCTGATCTATATAATAAATGTGAATTTCAGTGTGCCACGGATCCAAACCCACAGTCCTTAAATTTTGGATTCCCAAGTTTTTGTTACTGCGATTGTTTTTGGTGATTTTTATTACTTGGAAATAAATTGGGGAATGATCGAAATTAATGACAAAATCCAGCAAAAGTCACCCATGAAATGAAAATAATTGTTTGTACATAAAGTAAGGACCTACGTACATCAAATTGTCCTTAAATTAAGTGGCAGCAGAAGAATTATCGTTGAACTTTTAAAACACAAGCTTAAATGTTAATGCATAGGTCGGGTTTTAAGCTAGTGTGTATGTATGTATGTATGTGTGTGTGTGTGTGTGTGTGTATATATATATATAATATATATATATATATAGTCTAGTTTAATGAGCCATATGCTCAAGTCACAACTAAGTCTTGCAATGGTGATATTTGACACTGAGGTAGCAGCCATCACATATAAAAGAAAAACGAGAAAATAAACTGTCAATTGCTGATGTCCCCTGACGAGTGTATGTATTGATTGCCGGAGGCTCAGTCTAGAAAAAAGTTGGGATGCTGAAGGTAACACCAATCAGCTAAGTGACAAACTTTATATTTGTGTCAGTTCTCTCTCTCTCTCTCTCTCTCTCTCTATATATATATATATATATATATATATATATATATATATATATATATATATATATATATATATATAGTGTTTCATTAATATGGATCAAAGCCAGCAGTAAATAAATCAGTGTTATTGGTGAAAATTTCTTTATTTCTTTATTGGATCATGTTATTTAAGTCATGCCAATTATGTGTGAAAAAATATCAAATAATACCAAGGCTTCAGCAGCACACCTCCACTCAGTGGTCAAAATTTTTGATGAGGTCTCTGCACAGTTGCTCCTTGATCTCACCAATATGCCTTATTATCTCATCCTTCAGCTGTTGAATTGTTGTTGGCTTCTTGGCATAGACCTTTCTTTTGAGATGACCCCAAAAAAAAGAAATCTAAAGGCATCAAATCGCATGATCATGATGGCCAATTGACTATGCCTTTTCGAGAGATGATGCGACCTGAGCACTTCTCATTGCATTTCTGTTTGAACGTCTATTTTTGCAATAAGCTTCAATAACTTTAACATGTTATTTGATTGTTAAACTTTCCATGATTGAAATTACCAAAGACTTAAGCTGTTAAATGTAAAAGAAAAAGAAAAAATCGTTAGATGCTTAAACTTAATTCACATTTAAATTCGATCCAAGTTATTGAAACACCTTTTATGTATACATGTGTATAAAGTGAACATTGATGTCAACACCCAGAGGCAACAGGACAGTCTATTTCATGCTAAATGCAGTTGTCAGGTCATGTGCATTGTATTTTGGCTTAATTATTTATATATACAGGTCAGTAATGCATTGTGGGTAGTGTATTGCATTGTGGGTGTTGACTTCAACATCTACTTTTATATTTATATATGCTCTCTCCCTGATATTGAGCACTTTAACACATAAATATAGCATACCTCAAAATTATATTTTATTATCTATGTGTGAATATGTATGTTTGTGCATGTGCACATATATATGTATATAATACACTCATTTTCATGCTTCTCTTCAGAGGTGCTGATGATAATATAATTATCTCATCTACATTGGTTGTCACTAAGTCATAAAATAATTATAAAATGTTGTCTTATTGCTTTACTTCAGCCTACTTCATTCTGTTAAGCTTATATACCATTCCAAATTTAGAATTCATCTTCCCTTCTCGGTACAAAGCCATCAGATACATTTATGGCATTTATATTAACGACTCAAATGATATGCTTCCGTCAACCCTTCTCTACTCCTCATCTCGCCTGTCAGGGTATTGGGGTACCTTGTGAGCTAAGAAAAAAGAAAAAAAAAAAAGACCAAGCTAGCAACTTTATATCAGACCCTCTGTCTTAATCACTGATTTTCTTTGTCTGTCTTGAAGGTGAACAAACATGATCTATGGCTCCAGTCTAAGGAACAGCCCAAAATGGTAACATGGTCAGGATAATTAAGGAAATTAGATTTTTAAAATTTCTTTCCTTTTTATTTTTTTTTTTATTTGGGTGTTGCAGAGAGATTTGCCATCAGTTCTGTAATGACCGAAATGACAGCAGGATGAAATAACAGAATCTCATTTCACTTTTGCAAATTGTCTCTTGTTAAAGAATTCAAGAACAGTTCCTGCTACATGCTATGCTTTCTTCACTTTTGAACTCAATTCAGTCCCAACAAATGTAAAACAGCTGGAATTGGTCTTTATTGCATGAAAATTTACTCTTCACATAAATTATGACACATTGAATCATCAAAAAACAAAACTAGTCTTCATTCCCTATGAATTGTTGATTTGGGTTTTTAAAAGTCAGTATGGTTGTCAGCATGGTGGAGTAATGGATAGCGGCTTGGATTGAGGAATTGTAGAGCCGAGTTCAAGTTCCAGTTGAATCCATTACATTCACTTACATACTAATACCCTTAGAAAAAGTATAAATACTCTTCTTCTCCCCCTAGCTATGGGTAAATAGCAGGACAGACCGGTTCCTATAGCCTTGGATGGCAACTGGTTTACCATAGAAAGAAATGGAAACCTACTGCAGGAAAACTATCTGCTTTGTCAGTCACGTATCGAAAGATACATCATCGCCTAAGTGTGTATCGTGCATGGTACATTGACTGACTGATGGTCGTCAGAAATTGGGGGACAGCGGAAAATGTGGACTACAAATTGGGGATGTTAAAATGAAACAAGTACAGACATTTAGGGAAGACAAGGATAGAAGATGTGAAGTCGAAATCTGAAAGCTGTTGGTATAGCAAAAAAGCAATGCACTTAGAAGGGTATTTGCATGTAAGTGAATTTAATGAAACTGATTGGAATTAGCTGTTATCCATTACACCAACTGCACATCCAAACTTGCAGAACCTGGTATTCCTAAGTGGTCAACCATCTAGGTACTAACTAGACTTAATGTTGCTTAACTTTGGTGATCATACGAGAACTGGTGTTTCAATGTGGTATGATTGTAATCGACCGGGGCTTGAATATTGACCTCTGGCACCAATAGGAAATATAGGTAGGCTACAGTATTTATCAATTGTCTTAGTCTTGGTTACCTGAATTAGTAATGTGATACTTATTGACTAGTGAGTTTGAACCTGCCTAACAGTCTTGTATAAATGTAGAACAGAAAGTGGTAGGGATAATGAAAGTACAGATATTGCTAAGAGCTACAAATAGGAAGTTGTGAAGAGCCATGATCACCTACCTAATGTGGATGTATAAATAGATGGCAGAACAGAGAATGAGAGGGATATTAAAAAGCCAAGCATTCCTTAGATCTACAAATGATAGGAAGTTGTGGAGAGTCATACTTAATGTGTTTGTCTAAATGGATGGCAGAACAGGAAATGGGAGGTATAGTAAAAAGACAAACATTGCTTAGAGCTACAAATGATAGGAAGTTGTGGGGAGCCATCATCGCCCTAAGTCTTTTAAATATTTGATCTTCTTTTTGTGAGGATGTGACAGACTCTGTCTCCCTGCTCAAAGGTTGGACATTTATATAATTTTCTGTCATCAGTTTATACATTCTATGTGAATATTCCAAGTTCCTGTCATCAGTTTATACGTTCTATGTGAATATCCCAAGTTCCTGTCATCAGTTTATACGTTCTATGTGAATATCCCAAGTTCCTGTCATCAGTTTATATGTTCTATGTGAATATCCCAAGTTCAGCTGGGTTGACATCCTGTTTTATGTAGGTGTAGACACCAGCGTCGTTTGAGGCCCAATTCTGCATTTGGTGGCTTCTTGGTCAACCTTCTGAGGCATCTAGCTCTTTTGATGTTCTGAAGTGATACCGAATACAAAGCTTACTTTTGTATCTCTTAGGGTGAGCCCAGTATAAATTGAGATCACGAGAGATCAATTCTCAGATCAAATACTGTCTTGAAGAAACTTAGTACATAAAAAACAGTGAGTTTGAACTTCATATGCTGTGAATTCTTTCCCACCCCCCATCTTTGATTGTCATTTAAGTTGTTTTTTTTTTTTCTCCAGGGGTATCAATGCTGCAGCAAAGTTGGTAGAAACTGTACGGGGAAGGTAAGTTCAATATTTTCAAAGACCTAATATTGTCTTAAGTGACTTTGGCCATGTGAAGCATATTACATCTCCCTGATTTACCCATGTCCCCCCCAATAGATGACAGTATTTAAGGTTTTGTTATTTCATAAATACAATGCAATTAGAAAATTAATATCCATTTATCTGTGAACTAAAACAAATTTCAGACAAAATGTAAAATGGCATTAAATAAGAGCAAAATTCTATTTTGATAAAGTCATCCGATGAGTCCAGAGATGAGTGAATTGCATATCATCACAGTTTTGTCTTCTTTGGTATTAATACAAGTTTGGTAAACCTGTTGCTTCCCCAACAGCGAGAAAGCTGTTAGCAACAGAGAGAAAGTAGAACAGTAGAAAACTTAAGAACAAAAAGAGTTGCTCTCTTGGAGGTTGGCACCAGCCATGCTGATGGAGGACAAAATGGTTCTCTATGATGTGTAAAGGATAGCAGTTATGTTTTGAAGGCATTAAAATTTATAAGTCACTAGCAGTAGAGCCCGGTGTTGGCCAGGGATGTAACAGTAAGAGATAGATCAAGTATCGACCATCATAAAGACTGAAAAATAAAATTGACAAAGATTATTGTTTAAGGTTGACGGACATGCATGTCTTAATTAGTTTTTTTTTTTTTTTTTTTTTTTTTTTTTACAAATTGGTCAAACCCAAACTCAAACAAAAACATTGTTTTCAATCGTTATGAGTCTATCGATTGAATAGAATTTTATTATAAACAATTGTCTTGTAAATGGAATTTTTAAAGCATTCTGAATGTAAAAATAAAGAAAAAAGTGTGCAAGACAATAAGAAACACTACCTGCCAAAAAAAAAGTGAAGTTTTGTTGAAATCGGTTGAAAAAAATGTAGGAAATCCAATCCCATATATAAATGAACACACACGCACACACGCACAAATAACCTGGCTTTTTATAATAAGTATAACTCGATATGAGTTGTCTCCTGTTCATTCTGATGACAGAATCATGTTTTATCATGTTTTCAAATTGATTTTGTGCAAAAACAATTGTGTTTTTTTTAATTTTTGGTGCTGTCAGAACCCCTGCAAGGTAATTTTACATATTCCTGTGAAGTTTTGTTGAAATCGGTTGAAAAATGTAGGAAATCCAATATATATACGTACAGACACACGCACACACACACAATCTGCGTTTTATAATAAGTAATGTTTTTTGCCCACGTTAACAATTGATTGGACGTCATTTTCAGAACCAGCTGCCAGTTTTACTTTATAAGCCCGATTGGACTTACTTTAGGAGTAAATAGTTGTGTCAGCATAAATACCTATTTGGGAATTGATGACATCAGAAATGTCATTGATGAAAATAAAAAAAAACAAAAACAATGTAGGTCCAAGGAGAGAGTCCCAGGGGACCTTCACATTAATGTGAAATGATCTAGAAGTGTGGCCATTCAACATGAATTTCTTTACTCTATTTGTTAAGAATCATTGGATTAACTTAAATATCTGGCCAGAGACGCCATAGTCTTTGAGCATGTGGAGAAGGCTAGTATGCTAAAGTCTGTCAAACGCCTTTAAGATATCTAAAGCTACAGCCTGAGCCTTGCTGTTCTTATCTAAAGCCTCATAGACAAATTCACAGATAACGGTTAACACATTGGTGGAAAATTATAAAGTTTTTTTTTTTTTTTTTTTTTAACTAAAATTGAAATGAAATCATTTTTTAACATAATTTTTCATTAATTTTCTAGAAATCTGTTTATATCTGCCACTGAATTTAAATATACTTCCTTTCGGATATAATTAAAATACTTTGTCAGGTATCAGCAGAAAACTCTTCCTTCCAGGCTATAAGCAATATTTCAAACTGTTGCATTCCATATTTACAACAAATTATATTTATAATTTCGAAAATTAAAAAAAAACATGATGTGGTTAGTTTATATATATATATATATATAAATATTTCTATCATTTTTAACAGGCACTGAGGATTGACATTAGGTTTAAGGTTCCAAAATTTCAGCACTAGTCGATTACAGAATTGGTTAAAACATATTAAGTTCCTTGACAGTTGTGAATTCAATATACTCTGTGGGAGAAGGAAACAATCAATAGAAAGGAAGGCGTTAACTAATATGAAATATTCCCTAAGCATGGGTTGAATAAAGAGATATGTTTAAAAATCCAAAAAGGTTACAGAGACAGATACCTGAAGAAGGCTTGATGTTACAACAGCCGAAATGTTTGAATATAACAATTGCAAGCTGTTCATGCATATAATAAACCTACTAAAAATAAGGAAGTCTTAAGGATGTATAGATTTGTTTTTTTATGTCTTAAGTGGGTTATTTAAAGCCAAGATATATCTAAAGCCACAGCCTGAGCCTTGCTGTTCTTATCTAAAACCTGATAGACAAATTAAAATACTTTGTCAGGTATCATATTTTGAATTATTTACATTAATCCTCATCTTCATTGCCATATTCACAACATTTTGGCCATTGTACACTTCGGCCTTCTTCAGGTGATTGGAATTTCGAACCAAACCCTTTATTTCATCCATTGGGGTAGATTGTTCTAGTTCCACGTCCCATGCCTCTTTCAGATGTTTCAGTTATTTCCATTTAACTCAGTTCTCCAAGTATTTTGCTGTAGGCTGCCATTGAACTCACAACTCTTTGGGTCTAGTCACTGGATCTAACCAACACCTTTATCCACTGGGCCATGTGTTCTTGAGGACATCTGTGTATAAATTTTTGGGACTTAAAATCTAATGACTCAGCCACTGTTTTTTTACCAGTGGACGAAATAAAGGGTTCAGTTCAAAATTCCAATTACCTGAAGAAGGCCGGAATGTGCAACAGCCGAAATGTTGTAAATATAGCAATGAAGATGAGGATAACAGTCTGAATAATGTAAATAATCATAATACCTCGTCTCATAGATATAGTCAGATATTTTTTATTGTAAGAGTAGTTATTTGTTTTTGTGTAGGAATATTGCATTAACAACTTTTTAAAAATAGCAATGATTTTTTTAGATACAAGTCCCACTATTTAACATATAGCTGGTGGTGGGGGGATATTTATACCTTTCCTAAGGGTATTTGTGCATAAGTGAATGTAACAAACTTAACCTGAATTTGAACTCAGCTCTCTGATTTCTTATTCTGAGCCACTCTCCATTACACCACCTGCACCTCCTTGAGGTCTCAAGGAAAAAGAAAAAGGAAAGGACACTTATACTTAGAATTGGAAAGAGAGAACTGAAATTTCTTGGACACATAATGCGGACTTGGAAAATTTGACATTTATCTGACATATTTACACTACCTCGTTCAGATTGTTGACTGCATCTTTATTGTTACCCTATGGACTCAATAAAGGGTTTTATTCAAAATTCCAACATATATCACCTGAAGAAGACCAGAGCATACAATGGCCAAAATGTTGTGAATACAGTAATAAAAATGAAGACAACAATTCAAATGATGTAAATAGTGTAAATAGTTACAATACCTCATCTCAGAAATATAGACAGATATTCCTATGCCATATCGGAGGCAAAAGGTACACGAGAAGGCAGCAGATTACTTACCTGACCAGTTAATATGAATGGATAGCAAAATGGTGGATAGGAGGGATAGTAAAATGATAAACATTACTAAGAGCTGCAAAGGATAGGAAGTTGGGGAGAGCCATGATGAGTTACGTCCTGAAGAGAAACAGCACATAGAAGAAGAATAAAAAAATAAAATCTAAATTTCGATAAGCATTTGTATATTTATACTTTGTAAAGTAGGGTTTGTATATTTTTCTTTTTTTCTTTTTTGTTTTTAAATGCTATATCCTGTCTGGGTGTAAACGATCTTGGTTCTTCACAGGTTGTATTTTTTTATTGTGTGTGAATTGCTATGACTTCTTGGGAGTGGAGTGGTTTCCTGTTGCTTTCACTACAGTTTTAAATTCAGAGTACTCCTCTTAAACTTGCATCCACCCAAGAACAGAGTGTCCAGTCTATCCTGATGTTTAACCCATAAAAAAAGAGAAGAGATGGATTCATCCCTTTCCCAAAAGCAATAGTATGAAGAGAATTCAATAGGCTCAGCTGAAATTTGAATTCAGCTTTGACGGTTCTATTTTCTGAGCTGATTGCTAGTGTGACACAATGGAACCTGGTCATGGCTGAGAACAGGAAACTGGGCTGTGTGTGGTTTTTATGACTGCATAGACAGTAAACTCTAGAAATCAGGGTTTCAAGATAGCCACAGTCCTGGGTATGATGATAAACTACATCCGGAAGCAAGGCCTCATATTGGAAGATAGGAGGTTTTGAGGAACACAGGGCCACCTCTTAATTGCTGTTGTTCCCAGGTTTACTCTGACCTGGGATGGTAGCACATGTTAAGGTCCCAGCTATGGACAAATAGTGACCCCCCACAACAAGCTAAAACAAAACACTATGTAAATATAAAAATACATTCTTATAGTAAAAATACCAGCTATACAGTTTTATATAAAAAAATCACCAACAATAAATATTTATAGTAAAATTACCAATAATACATCAATCAACATGAAAGAACTCTTTCATGACATTAATCCATATAATATCTTACAATTTCTTAAAGAAATCAAACAGTATTCAAAAATATAACTTCAACTACAACATAAAACACACATATCACTGTTTCTAGTAATTATGTTCACACAAACATGTATATGCACAAAAGCTGAGTATTATCTACCATCTATTCAAGTGTGAAAGCAGAATAACATATATCATATTTTTATTACTTCAAAGCTCCCAAGAAAAATTAAATTTTGGCATTAAATAACCCATAAGATATTGATATGCCTTTTAAACAAACAAGCTAGCCAAGGGGAAGTGGAGCAAATAAATAAAAACTTTTGTGACCCAGTCCCCTTGGCCAGAAGTTAAGAAGTTCCATCTGTAGGCTTATATAAGCAAAATCACATATTTTTTTTTCAGCCACC